TAAATAAATCAAATATGAGAAGAAAGTTTTGAATACGTTGATTAAAACATACAATCAGTGGGACGAAGATAAAAGAAGAGAGCAAAGCAAAATCTCACGGAATAAAGAAGGCGTATGAGCCAACACAGTTTAATCAAGCGTGAATCAATAATTAAAGTCAAAAATAAGTTACATGCATGTGATGAATAAGATAAGAAATGTACAAATATACGCTCATATAAAAACAGTCAAGGTTGATAAGTGAATAATTAACAATGTTAAAATGTAGCTTTAGTAGAATAGATAACTTTGTCCAGAATCTAGAATAAGCTATGTGATTTTGACATAGTAACCGACACTGCAACATGAATTAATAAACATTAATTCTTGTTTGTGAAAGAATAGTACACCATCTAATTAGAATTGGTAGTTTATGTGTGGGTATTTTAATTATCGAAAAACATGGCGAGACCATAATTTATGGACGAACCAATCACGTATTAAGATAACAGATCTGGGATTTTGACGCAAAATTCACTCATACATTTCGAATAAATAGAGTGTTTGTATTATAACTGAGATCAGTTCGTGATGAAAACCATAAATCTAATTCTTAACCTTAATCATCAACTGTAAATTATAATTATAATTCCTTACGCACTGGTTTATAACGCTCATTTGGTCCTGGTTATTAAGTGGACACTCTCAAGGTCAGTCTGGCATCGGTCAAAGGTCGTCCATAAATTATAGACTTACCAAAAACACCAATTGAATAAACAATGAATATGCATTTTAATAAACAAAACAAAAATTACATAAGATATGCATGGTGTTGATAAGTTTTTGTGGTGTTTGTATGAACTAATGATTTACTTTGTACTTGATGACTGCCTGATTTCAAATTCCAAGCGCAATACATTCGTCTGTGCTCTTATATAGTTCTTCTTGGTTAAATTGCGTTATATCTGGGATTCCTATTTTGTACACGAACAAATGTAGTTGAAGAAAGCTCGTGTGACAGCAGCCTCTACATCAGTAGGCCTCAATATACACAGGAGAAAAATCAAGGTTTGTCAAATACAATACGGAGAACACCAATCCAATCACACTTGATGAAGAAACTCTGGAAGATGTAGAATCCTTCACATACTTGGGAAGCATAATCGGGGATTGGCAAAGCAAGGGCCGCATTTTTACAACTGAAGAAAATATGGAACTCAAAACAACTGTCTGTTAACCAACATCAAAGTCATAATCTTCAATACGAACGTCAACACAGTTCTACTGTATGCAGCCGAAATGTGTAGGACTACTACAACCGTCACCAAGAAGGTACAAGTATCTATAAATAGCTGTCTACGCAAGATATTCAACATCCAGTGGCCGGATACCGTAAAAAACAACCTACCGTGAGAGAGAACAAACCAACTTCTAGATGATGAGGAAATTAGGAAAAGATGATGGAGGAGGATATGACACACAGTGAGAGAATCACCAAACTGCATCACAAAGCAAGCCCCAACTTGAAATCCTGAAGGGAATCGGAAAAGAGGAAGGCCAAAAAACACATTACGTCGTTAAATGGAAGCAGATATGAAAAGGATGAATAAAGTCATTTATAAGAATTTATATTCATCATATTCACCACTATCAATAATTGATAGTCTTCATTTTTCAACATGTAACGATTCTGAGACTTCTTCGTCTTCAATAATATACATTTGAAAGTATAAATGTTTTGGTTTTATACCCGTCTTATTATAAATGAATGAATTTATACAAAGATATATAAAGGATTATGTGTTTATTAAAATACTTGACTGTTAACAACCATATTTCGAGTTCAAACATCAATCTGGTCATTTTGAATTCTATCACTAACCTTGATATAAACGATTCAATGTTGTTCTATTTTCGAATGGACGATTGAAAGATATCCATTAATACGAGTAGAAAGCAAACACTTTCTACACGTTTCGACAACTAATCCTTATAACACTTTTACAATAATAATCTTACATCTGATTGATGAGAGATAGAGAGTGAAAACAGAGATTCAGAATAAGTTCCACACTACAAGAAGTCAACATTGTAATAACAACTGTGACATTGAAGTATACAATAAAAATAGCAAACTGAAAATGAAAATAACCGGCCCTCGTACGGCCGAGGGTGGAGAGAGTTAGCTATCTCTCTTTAAATGCCAGGGAATTCCTACTCACTGCCTTCTCTCAGTATTACTGTTGTTTACGAAATTGAGAGGATGAAAAGCTCCACTGTTTTGTGGATTAGACATTTAAGTCAAAGGCACCGGATATGGCTTCCTAAGAAAACCACCTGCTTTGATCTGGGCACCTTGACAGTATTACAGCCTACACACAAATCAAGTGACTTGTGTGGCGTATGTGTATTCGGTGCCCCTTTGTACTAATATATTTGTGTTCAAATAAATAAATAAGATGACAACATAGACTAATGGGATAAATTGAACTGAAAATACCCCTTTACTTGTCATAAGTACAATTTGTTTGTTTGTGGCTTTTCTAGTAAAAGCCAATGACACAAATACATATAATTTGTAACCAACAAATGTATGGAGGGAAACAAGAAATACCTTTAAATTCACTTGGTGTTGTTTACTTGTGTCTTCCCATTGTTATTTAGGACTGCAATTGATCAGTCTTCTGTTGGCATAGATGTATCTTGTGCGGACTGTTTCGATATAACCATAGGTCTTAGGTTTTAATGAATTAAAAAACACTTCACCTCACTGCACAAGCAGGTGGCTATTAGGACTCAGTAGCTACATGGATAACGTGATGACGTTTCAAGCGAACAGTACTGGGTTCGAATTCTATAATGAACATCAACTCTAAAATGTAGGTACATTCAGCTGACGAGTCCCAAATAGAATGAAACATGTGTCCTGAATTCAATTGCTGTGCAATTATCCATCTTTGTTTAAGAAATACTTTTTTTTTAAAAGAGACATTAGTTCTAAACTAAATTTCATTTAATATATTACCATGATTCTTTTAAATGTATAATTATGTACGTGATATATTGTTAATTAGAATATATCTATACATATGTACATAGTCAGTATTTCAAGCGATTAAATCCCGACTTCCCTTCCTCTCTTTCTCCCTCTCTCTCTCTCCCTCTCTCTCTCTGTCTCTGTCTCTGTCTTTGATCTACATAGATACGCATACATATATCCATATGTACAATTGAGTGAAAGTGATTTCAAACGATGATTAAACATTGAACTATGTTTATATTACTAGAATAGTAACAATTCTTTAAAAAGTATATCATTTATATGAACAAAATGAACATATGTTCTCTTTACTATTCTATACATAAAATACTCTTCTTCTCTTCCAAAAAAGAAAAGAAACAAACAAAACAGGTGAACATGAGGAATTGAATGTAAATTTAATCGAATATTAATGGTAACAACAATAATAATAATACTAAACAGTAACAGATGTTGAATTACCCCTAAAGTGAATATTAACATTAACAGATAAATGGAAAATGACATGCAGAACATGATAATTTAATTTACACATCATAGAAAATTACATTGAATGTAGTATTAGTTGTATGTGAAAGTTTTCAATATTGCAGAAAAAGAAAGAAGGAAAAAAAGAGAGGAATTAGATAAATCTGTGTAATAGTAGTAGTGTAGTGAATGAGAACACCAGTGGGGACAATCGAATGTATTCAACACAAAATTACAGGACTTGTTCAGAAAATCTAGCAGTCACCATTGGATACCGGCTCGGTGGTTCAGTTGGTTAAGCGTCCGCGCGCGAGACCGAAGGCCCTGGGTTTGAATCCCGCGAGCGGGATCGTGGATGCGCACTGCTGAGGAGTGCCACAATAGGACGAGACGGCCGTCCAATGCTTCCAGGTTTCCAAAGGTGGTGGTTTAACATCAATCGGTTCATGATCTCAATCAAAAATCATAAAGTAAATGGTTACTTTGCAAAATGTCCATCGATTGTCTCCAAAATTACTCAGACTTCATTGTTCTTGCATTTTCATACAAATTGCATTTTGTTTCTGTTCTTTACTGTTCGATACTCTTGTCTCTCTGCTACTAGACCTTCTGTTCACGACTAACATCATATACTACTGATATCAATATAAGTAGCACACACCACAGTAGTAGTGCAATGAATGAGAATACAAATGGGAACAGTAAAATGTATTTTAACTACAAAATTATAGAACATCTTAGTCAAATCCGAGAACTATACAGTGAATATTTTGATTGCAAAATATCAATCAACAGTCTCCGATTTGATTGCTTTTTCATTTCCATACCAATCATTCTATGTTCTCGTTCTCTTTTTTTTCCTTTGATCTTAACATTCTACTCCCAGATATTTCATTTTCAATTGATGATATATACTACTTATATCTGTTGACATCAGTAGGACACAGAGCAGTAACAGTGTGAGTAGTAGTGTAATGAACGAGAATACTGGTGGGAACGACTAATATATCTTAATACAACACTACACAATATCTTGGTAAAATATGAGAACCATATATTCAATATTTCATTTGTTAATTTCCATCATTTGTCCTTCACATTCTATATGATTCTTCAAATTCAGAATTCCTTCCTATTTTCCTTTCCGTTTTCTTCTGCTATTTGGTTTTCTACTACTATCGATTAGTTGAGATTAGATAGTGGTTGGAGGTAGTCGACAGGAAACCCTGAGGCCGGGTGACACGAGATCGAATCCACCAGAGAGCACCAGTTCCCTCAAGATTACAGGTACACCTTGCTGACGAGTGCCAAGTAGCACGAAACTCGGGTCCAGGGTTTCCTGTTGACTACCTCCAACCACCATCTAATCTCAATATATAGTGCCTGCAGTGTCGAGTCACGCAGACTGGTGGCCACAATGCAACATGATCGATAGCATTCGATATGCATTAATAAGGATTAGACATACCTGACATTGATCGCCACCCAGTGATCAATCAATTGTGACTACCGATTAGTGTTTCATACTACTTATATCTGTCGACATAAGTAACATACACCACATCGTAGTAGTAGTAGTAGTAGTAGTAGTAGTAGTAGTAGTAGTAGTAGTAGTAGTAGTAGTAGTAGTAGTAGTAGTAGTAGTAGTAGTAGTAGTAGTAGTAGTAGTAGTAGTAGTAGTAGTAGTAGTAGTAGTAGTAGTAGTAGTAGTAGTAGTAGTAGTAGTAGTAGTAGTAGTAGTAGTAGTAGTAGTAGTAGTAGTAGTAGTAGTAGTAGTAGTAGTAGTAGTAGTAGTAGTAGTAGTAGTAGTAGTAGTAGTAGTAGTAGTAGTAGTAGTAGTAGTAGTAGTAGTAGTAGTAGTAGTAGTAGTAGTAGTAGTAGTAGTAGTAGTAGTAGTAGTAGTAGTAGTAGTAGTAGTAGTAGTAGTAGTAGTAGTAGTAGTAGTAGTAGTAGTAGTAGTAGTAGTAGTAGTAGTAGTAGTAGTCGAAAATTTGACCATTTAATTAATGTTTATTTTATTAAATGATTCTAAAAAATAAAATTATATGATTGTTGGCGGGACTATAATGTTTGAACGAACTCATCAGATTTATGATAACAGGTTTGAGATTTTGGCGTGAAATTCATTCACTGATTTGGCTAAATAGAGTTTCTGCATTATAACTAATGTCAGTTCGTGATGAAAACTATAAATCTAATTCCTAACTGATGTGTGGGCCAGAAGAATATTGATTGACTGTCTGCTTAGTCAGACGTGTAGATAGTCTGACAGGTGTCAAATGAGTGATATATTCCCCTATCCTTACTATTATTTTGACTCACTTATTATTGATTGTTCATTGTTGTTGGATTGTGTCGGGTTTTTGGTGTGGAAATACATTTACATTGTGGTCAGGTTAATCATGTGTTCGTGATCTGAGTTGTGTTGACGTCTTGTAGAACAGACGCTGAGTGGGAATCTAGTGTAGATACTTGTCTAAAGTAAATTAACGTCCTATATGTGTAAAAGTAGAAACCTAACTGTTATAACATTAGACAAAGTAAAACCGAGCGTTATAACACTAATCCTTATTCTTTAAACTGCTTTATAATCCTTATTTAGCCCTAGTAAATAGGTAGACACTCTCAAGGTCACTTTAGCGTCACTCAAAGGTCGTTTATAAATTATAGTCATACCATAATTATTATAAATTTTCCTAAGGATTTCGGCTTTATTCCCTATAATGGTTAATATGCTCTAACCCAGTTTCTAGACACTTTTCTTTACTTTTTATAGTTCTTAAACCCTACCGGTAAATGAACTCCTACAGAATTGTGTTATAAAAAAACAGAGAAAATCATTCATTTCCCCTTTTTTTTTATACTTTAATTCTTTATTAGATAATTAACATCTTATTAGATTGAATTGTATTAATCACTTAAAGTTGATTGACTTCAGAAATCACCTTGAGATAGAAGTCAGATGATTATGATTATTATTATTACTTGTTTATTTCAGTATTTCATAGTCATTTATAGAGTTTAAAGATGATTTCATAAACAGTTTATATTAGTTGAACTTTTTAAGTTTTGTCAATTTATGGTGTATCTTCGATGATGTATTATATTTAGATTGTGATTAACAGTGGAAATCAGGACTCTCATTTTGTCTAATTTGGAATTTATCAGTTGGATACAATGGTGTATTCTAGTATTACTATTCATACTGTGACTTGAAAACTGTAACAATTATTTGAAGCATTGATGAGTTATTCACTAAGCTATTGACTTCAGGTGTGGTGTATGTTATTCATGTCGACAGATATTACTTACTTACTTATGCCTGTTGGTTTGTCATAAATAGGATGAAATATGGGTCATGGATTTTACTACTATCTCCAGTCCGAATTGATTCTGTATATTTACGGATAATATCTAGTTTTCAAATAACAAATTTTATTTCAGTGGTTATCAGTTATCAAATATATGCGGTGAGTCTTGTAGATTTGGGTGGAGATTCAATGTTGTTCTTTTAGGCTGTTGAAAACTATTGACTTTTTCTGTGACTGTATTTTAAATGGAGGTGATGAGAAGGTTTCGTATTGACTTTATAATAATGTAGTTAGATAAGTATTAACAAAAGGGATTATTTTAGGGAATAATTTGACCCCAACATAAAATGAAAACTGTATTGCTATTATTATTATTATTTAGTAAAAATAATCACACGCCTCATTGGTTTGCCATTCACTGGGGATGGAATCGAACCTAAGATCTTTGTAAGCCTTATGGCATATTTATCCTTCATTGGTGATGTGACTGTGGTATGGCCAAGTCACTACTATCGAATATTTCATGTGAATAACTCAGATTTAATTGACTCAATTAAAGACTGACTTATAAAATAGATAGAAAGTCACAATACACATTTTATAATATAATTCACCTTCTATTACTTGCTAACATACGCCTGTTACTCACAATGGAGCATAGGCCACCGACAAGCATTCTCCAACCCACTCTGACCTGGATCTTCCTTTCTAGTTCTATCCAATTGTTGTTCATTCTACTCCTATCTGTCTCCGTTTCTCGGCATAATGTGTTATTTGGTTTTCTTCCTCTTCTCCTTTGGCCTTGAGGATTTCATGTGAGGGCTTGTCTTGTGACGCAGTTGGGTGCTTTCCTCAATGTGTGTCCTGTCTACTTCCATCGCTTTTTCCTGATTTCTTCCTCCTCTGGAATCTGGTTGGTTCTTTCCCATAGTTAGTTGTTGCTGATAGTGTCTGGTCAACGGACCGGAAGTATTTTGCGTAGACAACTGTTAATAAACACTTGTATCTTCTGGATGATGGCTTTCGTAGTTCTCCAGGTTTCCGCCCCATACAGTAGAACTGTCTTGACATTTGTATTGAAAATCCTGACCTTTGTGTTGGTTGAGAGTTGTTTTGAGTTCCAGATGTTCCTCAGTTGTAAATATGCTGCTCTTGCTATTCCGATCTGCGCTTTCACGTCTGAATCGGATCCACCATGTTCATCAATGATGCTGCCCAATGTCGACAGATATAAGTAGTATTTATCATTAATAGAAAGTGAAATGTCTAGCGGTAGAAAGTTAAGAAGATCGAAAGAAAGAGAACAAGAACAGAGAATGATTGGTGTGGAGATGAAAGAACAATTAAGTCTGAGACAATTGATTAGCGTTTTGGAAATGAAGAGTTTACTGTATGGTTCTAAGATTTAACTAAGTTGTTCTGTAATGTTTGTTGAAATACATTCGGTTGTCCCCAGTTTTGTTCTCGTTCACTACACAGGTAGCCACTACTTTATTTAAGGTGTACGGAATTATTTTTTAATATCAAGTTATTGATACTTAGGAATGAATTTCAAACAGTTTTATAAAAACTGAATATCAACACTGTGATGTGTTGAAAATCCCACTGACAAATCCCAGACGATTTCAAACTTACATCCTAGATTCCCTTAATACTCATAATCCAAATATATCAGAAACTTTTAATGAAAGAAACAATAATGAAACATTGGCATAGGATATACATACACCAACATAAACTTATCAAAGATTATACCTGAATCTCAACTATCGGATAAAATAAATCTTTTATGATTATATCCCATGTATAAATTTGAACAACTCTGCCTAGAGTCCCCCTGCAGTTACTGTCGGTCCCAAGCCCAGATAAAGGAGTAGGGTTGGGCATGGGCTTAGCGATCCCATCCAGTAGTAAACTAACTCGCTAAAAAACGCTTACCAGAAGAAATAATTTAAACCATTTAAATTCTGCCTTGGGAGTTAGAAGGTCTTCATTTAAAATAGTTATGGCGCCTCATGTTGAAAGCCGAATTCCTTCGGAAGTCATGAGGCTGATACCCCTTCTGACAACCAGAACAACCATTAATTTAAGTACATGGCATATTCGTACAATGTGGGAGACCGGAAGAGTCTTCCAAATTCCTACAGAATAAATTTGGACAATAATTATTTATGGTAAGAAAATTTCTGCTCATATTCAGTCTATTTATGTTTCACTAACACTTGTTCATTTCATTTAAGGACATAATTTAAGTTACTATTATTAGTAGTAGCAGTATTAGTAGTATGATAACATGGTATAAACTTTTGTTTATAGGATACACACATTACAATAACCCATTTACCTGCTCATTCAACAAGAAACTAATATCTAACCTATTTGAGCGTCTTTGTCAAAGTTTACCATTTACTCAATATGGTTAATTTTAAGAAACAGTAAAGGAACTAATTTGTTAATATGCTTTGAGTATCAATTTTTCTTTCTATTCATGTTGTTTTTGTTTTGATCAAACAGATAGCCTATCAGAAATAGTATCATTGATAACTGTCATTATTATAGATGGGAGTGAATAATTAAAATACAGATTAATGAAAGAAATTCCGTGAATGCTCACTTCTGAGGAGCCCTGCAATAGGACGAAACGGCCGTCCAGTGCTTCCAGGTTTAACATTAATCAGTTCATGATCTCAATCAAAAACTTGATAATCTCCACAACCTCATACTGAAAATTTCTCTTCTTAGACAAATAAATCAAGTTCTTTCAATAAAATTATAAGTATATAACCTTTTACTTAAAATGTGATTTTAAAAAATAAACGGGGGTACAGTTTTATTATAAGACTCCTCTTCAATGGGCCAGGGATAGAACTTGAAGTTTTGACGTTCCGTGGTATTATCCATTGTCAATAGATCACAATCCCTACATTCATGATATGGTTAAGGTTTACTGATCATTCTGCCAGTTTCATATTTAATTGGATACTTTTATTAGTAGCATTTTTTATAATAAAAAACATACTTATTACGTGATTAGATACTACTTTTAAATTGGCTTGTCAACATCACAACTCTACAATAATTTTCACAATCTAATTGGATGAGGAGAGTGTTGTAACGGGTGTGACTGCAGGATTTGATCAGATTCGGTGACAGTGGACACGTAAACATGTAAGGACGACCTAGTGCCCTGATTGGCCCTGCTCCGCTGTCTGTCCTAGCCAGTTGAGTCAAGAACAAAAGTCACAGCCTCCGGGTTATGAATCATTATATTCCAAACATACTTTGTTTATATACTAGTCAAGCAGACAACAACGTACCACAAAGTAGAAAATAACATTGTACAATATTGGCCAACAGGAAAATAACACGTTAAATAAATATCGACCAATGGGAAATGTACATTTAAGGTCCAAGGACACCATTGGACTTAACATGATAATTATTGGTCTATTTTTCCGACTACCTAACAGAGAGTTTAAAATTTGTAGGTCTACCTCATGAACTATATGTAGCTAAAGAACTATTAAAAGCCAAGAGACACTGTGCAATTGTTTTGTTTTAGTATGAGATTCCTCAGAAACAACCATCTTTCACCTCAGCAGACTCTAACCTAGTATCGTTTACACCAAACGCTGTTACGCTATTCACTTAGCTACTGAACCCAGACAGCCACTCACTTGTGCAACAA